CCTCGTTTCTTCCCATTGCTTTAGTTTCTTTACACTCAAGAGCAAATTTCAGAGTTTCTTCTAACACCGTTTTTGTCTTTTCTTTCTTCACTGTCTTTTTAATGATCTTTTGCATTCTTCATGTATGTATGGTATTCTTGATGTCATCTCACAACTCTTCTGGTCTTTGGTCATTAATGTCTAATGCATTAAATCTGTTCTTGAGATGATCTCTAAATTCAGATGGGATACATTCAAGGTCATAGTTTGGCTCCTGTTGACTGGTTTTTATTTTCTTCAGCTTCCCAGTTGTCCTTTGAATGCCTTCCAACATGAGTGCTCATCTTCTGGCACAAACAATGCTCTGATGCTATTCATAAAGTTTTCAGTGACTATCCACTCAAAAGTTGTTTGCCTCTCCCTCTTCCTGGTGGTGATGTGCCATGTAGTCAGTTCTGACTCATAGTGACCCTGCACAGGGTTTCTGAGGCTGTAAATCTTTACGGGAGCAGAAGTCTTTCTCCTACAGAACAGCTGGTAGTTTCGAACTGCTGACATTAATGTTCGCAGCCCGATTCGTAAACACTGTGCCACCAGAGCTACTTTTCCTTCTTCCTAGTCTGTCTTAATCTGGAAGCTCCGTTGAAGCTAATCACTATGGGTCACTAGTGGCATGGCTTCAAGCGTTGCGGCAACACACAAGCCACCTGTGTATAAATTCCAACAAACTGACAGGCAGCGGTAGGAGAAACCAAATAAAAACCTTCAATTATTTCTCTATAAACACACACAAAGATGTACATGTGCTACCCCAGGCGTATAGCGAGAATACAGTGTTGCTGTTGTTGTTGTTAAGTGCTGTCCAATCAGATCTGACTCAGAGTCAGGACACTTGATAGGGTTTCTGAGGAGTGGCTAGTGAGCTTGAACCGCCAACCTGCTGTTCAAACCAACCATGTGGTCAAGTGCTTATCCTCAGGCACCACACCAGGACTCTATAAAATGCGTTAGGTAATGATAGGGACTGTGCTGGGAAATCCAGAAGGAATGTGGATAGAGAATATTCATGCTGTTTGTGTGGTTGTGGGGTGGTGAAGAGGGAGAGAGAGGTTGAGATTGTATTTCCATTTTATCAAGCATTACTCTTGGCATATACTTGCTGTGTCTTATGCAAGGCAATTAAATCATAGTTTCAGAAAATATTTGGAAGTAAATGCTTTATTTGCTTTTTAAAATGTGACTCAGCAGTCAAAAGCAATGCCATATGCATGACAATATTTGTTTTCTCCATGTTCTTGCTAATATGGTAGTGATTTAAAATGCTTTACCTGTCAGCAATTGGTAAGTCATGAGAAGGGGCGGATGTAAATAATTAACTGTCTCTCAGTCTTGTTGCAAATGAAATGTATGCATGCCATATGTTTGTCCACACAATGGGATGACTAATGTCTGAAGAAATTATATATTTTAATCATAACTTTGGAGGAATCTTCTAAATCTGCTCTGTTATGCTTTGAGGTGTATGAATGAAATAATCATATAAGAGTACTGAGTTTTTCTTCTCTTCACTTCTTTTTCTGTATTCCTATTTGGCTTGGGTCTGAAGTGGAAGGATTTTGCTAGTCAGTTCAGTTTATTGTTAATTGTTACCAAGTTTATTCTGAGTCCTGGCTAAGCTATGTGTGCACAGTAGAACTTCTCTATAGGGTTCTCAAGTCTGACCTTTCAGAAGCAGACCACAGGGCTGTCTTCCAAGGCCTGTGGAGAGTGATTTGAACAACCAACTTTTTGACTAATAGTAGAGTCACCTAGGGTCCCTGTTGTTAAGTGCTGTCAACTCACAAATGGCACATATTCTATCCTGCTGTTTCTTATTTTTATTTGTGTGCTTGCTTATCTCTTCTATTCAATTTTCAGCCTGGATAGGGTTGTTCATTCTTGTGTCTGTTTTACTTAGCCACATGTAGGTGGAAATCTGCTTATATATGCCTATTGTTTTGCAAAGGGAACAAATGGAGAAGGAACCCATTTACTGTGGGTTGCTTAAGGAAAACAATGGGATGCCTAGTTTGAGAACCACTATGGGTTGACTCAGAAGGGTCTTTTGTCCCTTATGTGTTATTTTGTCCGCTCCTGTTGGATTTTTATCTGTTTACAATTAGAAGAAAAGAAAAAATGCATCTCACCAAATTGGCTTATGGACCTAAGTGGGTAGAAAATCATGTTGAGGCTTGTGGTTCTAATATGCTTGACTGAGAAGTATCTAGGTATTGAAAATACTTTGATTTCAAGGGACTCCACAGGAAAGAATCCATGGGCCTATAGCAGAATCCATGAAGAATGAAGATCTCTTTGAGAAGCTGATGTATATTATAGATTCTTTCTAGAAACTTTGCGTCCTTCCCTATATGAAATCTGTTTCTTGTGGCTCAGTCATTGTTGTTAGTTGCTGTTGACTGGATTCCAACTACTGGTGACCTATGTGTGCAGAGTAGCACTGTGATCCTGAGAGTTGTTAGGGTTGTGAGCCTTTGCGAGCAGGGCTCCTCACCTGTCATTCAAGCTGCCTCTGGGTTGACTAGAAGCCAACCTTTTGACTACTAGTCATGTGTCTAACTGTTTGCACCACCCAGGGCCTGTGGGTTAACTGACTTATAGTGATCTTAGACAACAGAGTAGAATTCCTCATAAGTGTGGTGCTGTAGAATAAGCAGTGAACTGCTAAATGCAAGGTTGGAGGTTCAAGCCCACCAGCAGTTCCGCAGAAACCCTATACAGGGTTGCTTTGAATCACAGCCGACGTGACGGAACAGCACCTGACAATGACGACAGTCTGTACAGGAGCATGTTGCCAGAACTTTTCTCCCCCAGAGTCGCAGATGGGTTCAAACCATTGACTTCATGGTTGGCAGTCGAGAGTTGTTTCTGGGTTAACTTACGTGTGATGCTCACTTATATTCTCTCCCATATTTTCTTTCATCTGTGCCCCAGTTTAAGCAGGTTCCTATGCTTCTGTGCCTCAGGGGAAAGTTGATGCTTGACACAAATCACAACCGACCCATAACAACCCTGTAGGACTCATGGTGTGGGTTAATGCACCAGACTGCAAAGCTGTTTGAACTTCAAGGTCAGCAGTTCAAGCTCACCAGCTGCTCCTCGGAACCTTATATAAGGTCACTATGGGCTGGAACTGACTCGACGGCACTTAACAACAACAACAACCTTGTATAGGGTTTCCAAGGAGTGGGTGGTGAGCATGAACCACCGGCCTTGCAGTTCAAAATGACTTTGTAGTACAGCACATTAACCACAGCTCCATACCAGTTCTCTCTCTCTCTCTCTCTCTCTCTCTCTCTCTCTCTCTCTCTCTCTCTCTATATATATATATATATATATATATATATATATGAAGCAAAGTAGTTCCATATGATAAGCACTGTACTACAAACCGCAAGGTCCATGGTTCGAGCTTGCTAGCTGCTCTGCGGGGAAAGATGAGAATTTCTGCTATCATGATGAAGATTTAGAGCCTCAGAACCCCTGCACAGTCGTTCTGAGTTGGAAGCAACTGGATAACACGTACCAGAAACAACATGTGTATGTGTGTGTGTGTGTGTGTGTGTGTACATACATGCATATGTCTAGTCAGAGTTGTTATTACTTGCTGACTAGTTAGTCCAACTCACGTGTGCAGAGTAGATCTGCTCCCTAAGGTTTTCCCAGCTGTAATCTTTTGGAAGCAGATAATCAATCCTGTCTTCTGAGGTGCTTGTTGACGGGTTTGAACCCACCTTTTGGTTAGTAGTCCAGTGCTTAATTCTTTGGGCCACCTATTGAACTGCATATTATATCTTATTGGAGTGTTAGAAAAATTATCAAAAGAGAGGATTTCCCATAGTGTCCCTTGTAATTGAAAATAAGAAATCATTGGATTTGGTGACTTGAAGATCACCTGACTCCTGGAGAAGTGGGTCTGGGAACAAGACTGAGGTGCGCTGAAGACTGCAGAGCGCTGAGTCAGAAAAGAGCGGCAAATGTGGTCAGATGCGTTGTCATGATTGAGACAGGCAGGCTTGCATGTGCCTAATTGGTGAGAAGTGCCCAGTAGACAGGGAGCTACTGAATTCTCTGAGAAGAAGCAAGCATATGCATATGAGTCCAGGGATAAAATGGTAGTTTCTTGGTTTTGAACAAAGCTTTGGTGTACTTAAAACAATTTCAAGTGACTTACGTACGCAAACATTAATTTGTATGGTGTATTTAAATTATTTAACACAGGTCTGTTATATAAACAGATTATTGTCATTCGACCTTTGGATTGTGTGTATGTGTGATCTGCGTCACAAAAAAAATATTTTGTGATTTTTTTTATCGATACTTATATTTTTGTTGTTATTTATAATTTTCTGTATTTTAACATTTGTCAGCTTGTTATATTTAAACATGAAAAAATTCTTTAATTTCTTTAAAATAGTTTAAATCTCCAAAACAAGATAGAATTACATGTATCTTTTCAATATATTTAAATATGCCTAAAGTCATTGCTGGTTGGGAAAGTGGAGGGTCGGAGAAAAAAGGAGATGGATTGACCCAGTGGTCGCAGCCATTGGATCAGCAACGATTGTGAGGTTGACCCAGGACTGGGCACTGTTTCGTTCTGTTGTGCATAAGGTGACCGAGTCGATAACAACTTGATGGCGCCTAATGACAACAAATTCACAGATAAGTGCTTTTAGGGAACTAAGTCAGATGAGTAAGTTGATTCCATTCTTGGTTGAGACAGAGAGAAAGAAAATGAGAGAATGTGCTTAAATGTTTATTTAGGGTAAATTGTCTTGATTCACAACCGGTGGGTTGTGGTTTTCCTTATTTTTATTTTCATCTTTATTATCTCCATCTCCATATCTTTATTAACTGTTTATTGAGAAGTTTTTCTTTTTTAATTAGCTTTAAAATTGAGTAGCTCTTAAATCAAATGTGTTAAACTCAAAATTTACATTTTTAAAATTTTATTTTAACAGAAATGTTCATTATGAAGGTGGTGCTGTATCCATTCACGCGCGTTCCCTCTGGAGACTGGAGACGCTTAGGGTGGCGTAAGTAGAACTTGTGAATCCAGCCTAGTACTGCAAGCTGCAAAATCCCCCTAGTGGTCTCGCCCTGTATGACCATGTAAAACGGTCATGCTAACAACATACTAGTGAATAACATACTAAGAGGTGCTGGCAAGTTTCTCTCTTCCCTTTTCCCCTTCCTTGCATTTTTTTTTTTTTTTAAGCAGAGCAGGGGGTCAACCTGAGACCTATGCTGTGGTTTTGTGCAGTATGCCAACTAAAAGTCTGGATTGATATGAAGGACAAAAGGAAATATGTTTGCCCCTTTTCTTTTTGGAGATTTGCAGCTGTTGAAAACAAGTTGCTCTCAGCGTCAGTGAAGAAGCCTATTTTCGATGCCATTGAAGGTCTGAATACCCATACTTAAAAAAATATGAGAGAAAAAGAAGAGATAAATATATACGACAAAACACGTAGTCCTTATTGTTGTTGTTGTTAAGTGCTGTGGAGTCAGCCCCAACTCATAGTGACCCTTTATAGGGTTTCCGAGGAGTGTCTGGTGAGCTTGAACCTCCGTCCCTGCAGTTGGAACCAACCTTGCAGTCCAGTATATTAACCCGCCACACCAGGCTAGGTAATTACTCAGAGAAAGGGATTTAAAAGACATACATGTATTTGATCCTGTGTATATAAAAATGACTATCCTGTATATATATAAATGACGCCATAGAGAAATGGCATATATATGACGAAGTTTTTAAAAAAAGAAAGTTTCGAGACATTTTATTGTTTTTATAAAACAGATTCCAAGTGTGTTTTCAAATTTTCCAGCTGCACCTACCCACCACTCATATGTCAGTTTGTCACGCTGTGGTGGCTTGTGTGAGGCTGTGATGTTAGAAGCTATACCACTGGTATTTTAAATACCTGTAGGGTCACCAGTGGTAGACAGGTTTCAGCTGCAATTCCAGACACAGACAGACTGGGAAGAAGGCGAGGTGGAAGCAATAATGCTTCCGAGTTATTGGGCACTTACTTACCTTAAGAAAAGCAGTGAAGCACCATCAGAGAGCATCATAGTATTGAATTAAATCATGGTATTATACATGAGTTGTTAAACATCAAAATATTCAAACATGAGTTGTTGTTGTTGTTAAGTACGTTGGAGTCCTTTCTTACTCATAGCGACCCTGCACAGGGTTTCTGAGGCTGTAAATCTTTACGGGAACAAACCGCCTCATCTTTCTCCTGGGGAACCGCTGGTAGTTTCGAACTTCTGACCTTGAGGTTGGCAGCCTGACTCGTAACTAGCACCGGATTATTGTCAGACGTAGGGTTGTATTCTTTCACCATACTTATTCAACCTGTATGCTGAGCAAATAATACGAGAAGCTGGGTTCTATGAAGAAAAATGTGGCATCAGGATTGGA